AAGCGCCCTGGAAAGAGAAGTACAGCTCCCCAGTGAAGCAGTTATTAAAAAGCATATTAGAAAACAGTTAAAAATCACAGTTTAAAAACACAGGTCAATGGAATAGGTATGGAACCGGGGGCGGGGGGGGGGGGGACTGATAACAGGGGTCAAAATACAGGGTGAAGGCACTAAAGGGAATGGGAGGCACACAATGCAAGTCTAGTAGCATTTCAGCTGTAACATGTTGCTCTAACTACATTCTCAACAGGGTGTTGCCTTGTGGGGTCCACCATCATCCGTCTAATTTTAAGTGCTGCAGCACAGAACTCAGCAACACTGTAAGTTATTGTAGCGCTAGAGTCCGAAAGCAGCAGGGTGGAATATTTTTTGCTCACATATTCCAGTTTAAAGCAGATAATCTGGGGTCAAATCCTGGGATATAGGGCTGTGTGGAAGGGTCCTAAGTTTTTTGGAGTTATGATGAAGATAGACACAAATAAAAATGACACCAACAAAGAAGTCCAATGCTACTAAGACAGATTTAAACCATGATTTTCCCCTTTCAGTCTTAGCATTTTTCATAGAATCATAACATTGGAAAAGGCTATGCAGGAATGTACAAAGTACTTTTGACAGCTGGCCTTCTAGCCTCTGTTTATAAACCTCCAGAGAAGGATACTCCACCACACTCCAAGGCTGCATATTCCACTGTCCAACAACACTTACCATCTGAGAGTTCTTCCTAATGGTTCTAATCTTTGTGAAATGTTTTACAGTAAAGCCACATCTTTCATATCTGTTCTGTAATGAAGGAGTACTCTCTTTCATCCCAAATTTCTCTGTGCATTTTTGTAATATTTAAAAAAATGATAAAAAAATAAAATGCATAAACCTCCAAGCAGTGCAAGACAACAAATACTGCAAAAAAAGTCATATGATTTCATGTCATCTCTACAAACATATGACAGTTAGCTATCCAGTAGAAAGACCTTCTACAGTGATATGTTCTTCACATTCCTTCTACAAATCTTCAAAGCAGCTCCGTCTTCTCTCAGGAGAGATGATTTTAGGGGAATACTATTTTCCCAAGGATGTTTAGGATTATTTCCTGGATCTTGCAAAGATAATTGCCAAAAGATTGTGCAACAAAAATAATTCAGAGACAAAGGAACTTGAATCCCATTTGGGAGAAATGTGCAATATAAATAAATGAAATAAATAAAATAAAATGTGTGCCCATGACAATTGCCTGGTGTGCATAAAGATTCAGGATTGAGTTCCCGCTTATGTACTGATAATTCATTGAGCGGGAGATTGAGAATAATAGTGTTTCAAATATTTTAATGCAACATTAATAATTTTATCATGAGGATAATGATGCTGATGAGAAGTAACATTGAAAACTACTGATGAAGAAGAAAACAATTAGTCAGAAGCCTGCTAACACAATACACCAATGGTAACACTGTTTACAGGGATGCATATTCCTGCTCAGTCACTTCTGAGCAGACTAGGACCCAGCCGCTATTGTTATTTCTGTTTAGAGTAAATCCATTGAATTAATGGGATTTATCTATGTGTTGACATGCCAATTACTGGTCCATACTAGCTGGAACTAACCAAAAGGATGACAGCCGGTATCTCCTATACATCACTTACTGTACACTGGTTTTTCCCACATACTGCCAACTCCTAGATTTCGATAGAATTTGTCCTGCTCATTTTGAGAACTTATCAAAACCCACACATTTCTTCAAAAAAATTTTAACAAATCACAAACAGGCATGGATGAAATTGCAGTGCTTTCAACCATCCCAGCTGTTACTAGGGATGAAATTAATTTCAAGATTGTTCAGATCGTTAGAGTCTCCAAACCTCTCAGGAGATCTTGAGATCAAACTTCATGGAACATAGAGTTGGAAGAGACCTCGTGGGCCATGCAGTCCAATCCCCTGCCAAGAAGAAGCAAAACTGCATTCAAATCACCCCTGACAGATGGCCATCCAGCCTCACTTTAAAAGTTTCCAAAAAAGGAGCCTCCACCACACTCTGGGACAGAGTGTTTCACTGCTGAACAGCTCTCACAGTTAGGAAGTTCTTCCCAATGTTCAGATGGAATCTCTTCCTGTAGTTTGAAACCATTGTTCCACGTCCTAGTCTTCAGAACAGAAGAAAACAAGTCTGCTCCCTCCTCCCTATGACTTCCTCTCACATATTTATACATGGCTATCATGCCTCCTCTTAGACTTCTCTTCTTCAGGCTAAACATTACCCAGCTCTTTAAGCCACTCCTCATAGGGCTTGTTCTCCAGACCATTTTAGTCATCCTCCTCAGGACACCTTCCAGCTTGTCAACATCTCCCTTCAATTGTGGTGCCCAGAATTGGACACAATATTCCAGGTGTGGTCTAACTAAAGCAGAATAGAGGGGTAGCATGTCTTCCCTGAATCTAGGCACTAAACTCCTATTTGTGCAAGCCAAAATCCTATTGGCTTTTTAAGCTGCCGCGTGACATTGTTGGCTCATGTTTAACTTGTTGTCCATGAGGAGTTCAAGATCTTTTTCACACATATTTCTGTCGAGCCAGGCGTCCCCCATTCTGTATCTTTGCATTTTTTTTCTGCCTATTCATTAATTAAATATCAGTCTTCAGAGGTTTCTGTATGCTGAGTGATAATTTATTTTTGTGAAGCTTGCAAGGTTGGTATGACCACTCATACTGGCTGTAGGATTCCTAGGCAATAGTCTCAAAAGTAAATTTTGGAAATGCTGCTGCTGAGGTAGAGATGATACAACCAGTGAGAATGACTTTGAGATGTCTTTTTTGAAAGGACAATGCTTTGTGTATGCTCTGGGATTAGGCCCTGGGTTTCCTTTTGAGAATTCTTTTTTTAAACTTTCTGTAATATTTTCAATCTATAGATGATTGAATTTATAGATGAAGAATCCATGGATATGGAAAGCTTAATTTCCACTGAATAAAGTGACCTATGGATGTGAGAGATGGACCATAAGGAAGGCTGAATGAAGGAAGGAAGGTAGACACTGTGGTGCTGGAAGAAAATTCTGAGAGTGCCTTGGACCGCGAGACAATCAAACCTACTCACTGAAGGGAAGTATGTTAGAGTCAAAGATGAAGTACTTTGGCCATGCAATAAGAAGACAGGAAAGCTTGGAGAAGATAATGATGCTGGGGAAAATGGAAGGAAAAGGGAAGAGGGGCTGACCAAGGGCAAGATGGATGGATGTTATCCTTGGGAGTGACTGGCTTGACCTTGAAGGAGCTGGGGGTGGCCACAGCTGACAGGGAGCTCTGGCGTGGACTGGTCCATCAGGTCACGAAGAGTCAGAAGTGACGGAACGAATAAACAACAACAACATGGTATCCGCATGGCAACCCACCCCAGTATTCTTGCCATGAAAACTAAATGGTCAGATAATGATGCTGGGGAAAATTGATGGAAAAAGGAAGAGAGGCGACCAAGGGCAAGATGGGTGGATGTTATCCTTGGGAGTGACTGGCTTGATTTTGAAGGAGCTGGGGTGGGCACGGTCTACAGGTAGCTCTGGTGTGGGCTGGTCCATGAGGTCACGAAGAGTTGGAAGCCACTGAATGAATAAACAACAAAAAAGTGTCTGACTTCCTATGAAAAGATGCCTAGGATCAAACTTGCTAGGACGTGAAAGAGGAGTTCCTACTAAAGCCAGCCATGCTTAATCAAATTATCCCCAGACTCTGCTTTTCCAGGTGTTTTGGACTTCAACTCCCAGCAGCCTTCGCGACATGAGCCAATGGACAGAGCTTGTGGCAGCTCGAGTCCAAAACACCTGGAGGAACAGAGTGTGGCAATCGCTGCTTTATTATCTCCCTTTTCCTTTGGCTCCTTTTCTCCTTGCCTAATTCGAAAACAACTGCAGGAACGCTTTGAAGAGAATGGGGTTTCACATTTTTTTTCCCCTCAAGACGCGCTTAAGTGTGGGCGCGCACGTGTATGGCGGCTCTTTACGCATCTCCCTTCCCAATTCCTCCTCATTTCCCCCCATCTCAAGGGTCCTGAGGTAAAGCTACTCGGGCTGTTCCCCAGCAGTCCGCCGGGTGGCAGCAGCGTCACACCGCAGGAGCGCATCCTCCTCCTCCTCCTATTCCCTGCGCCGCTCTCTCTCTCCCTCTCCCTCCCCCCCCCCCTTTCCACGCCAAGTGTTAATGCAATTGACCAATCAGTGCTGGGATGATGGGAGGTAATTGGGTAATTGCATTTTGCTGATCACAAGAGCGGGGGGGGGGGGGGGGGGAGAGAAGTGACCTGGAAGGGCTGGAAGTGTAGGCATAGAAAGGGAAAAGAGCATAGGTCAAAACGCCCCCCACTGTGTGACTCTTGAGGTATATGCACTGCAGAAAGATTAAGTCATACAGGAGTAGTGGCCTGAAATTGGGCTTTTCGTGTATACATATTTATTTATTTCTCACTTCTCCCCCTTCACCAAAAAAAAAAGGCGGGAGGAGGAAGAATTCCAAAAGCTTCGGGCGGCAGAAAAAAAAAGGGGGGGGGGGATTGCCGCCGCGCGCCAAAAAGGAACGAGTGAGAGAAGAGGCGCGCGGCCGGGGAATGTGCCATCGCGGAGGGGGGGGGGGGAGAGGAGAAGGCGAGAGAGAGGAGGAAGCTGCTATGTGGAGGGAGGAAGAAGAGGGGAGCTCCCTCACTCATCCCCCTCCCACCCCAGCAGAGTGGAGTGTCCAACTTGTGGCTCTGACACCGACCCAGAGAACTCTGAAGGAGGAAGACGGCTGGAGGCGCAGCCTTGCGCGAGAGGAGGCAAAGCAAGGGCTGACGGCTCCGCGTCCCCTTCTCCACAGCAGCCTCCTCGGCGCTGACGCCCCCGTGCTTGATATATTTATCTGAAGGGCGCCCAGTGCCCGCGCACGCGCCTGCCTTGTGAGGGAGAGGGAGAGGGAGCGAGCGTGAGAGAGCTTAGTGCCGACGTTTCCTCCTCCTTCCTTCCTTCCTTCCTTCCCTCCCGCTCCCTCTTTCTCCTTCCGCGGATCCCCGAGAACAAGTTTCTCGGCGCCTGGGCGCACGAGCGAGGCCGCGGAGATGGAGAGGCGGGCGAGCGGGGAAGCCCACGGCCGGTGAAACCCGAGCCCCCTCCTTCGCACCCAGGGAGAGCGGCCTGACATCGTTTGGAGGCCGGCGCCAAGGAAAGGGAGGGGAGGCGCCGAAGAGAAGGTTCTGAAACGCCACCCACTCGCGCCCGTGGGCTGCGCTTCCCTCCCCTCCCCTCTCCCCTCCTCTCAGTGATGGATTGGTTCTTGACAGCTGGTGGGAATCTTGATTTTCTCCCCCTTCCGCCTCCCCGAAGAAGCATCTCACGCCGCCGCCGCCATCCCCACCTTCAGCTGCGAATCTCTCCTTCGCCTTCCCAGTGAGAGAATTGCAGGGGAGTTGTGGGAGGCAAGGCGAAGGAGGGCTGTCATCAAATGCAGAGTTTGCCTTGCCAGGAGGCGAAGAGCACCGCGGCCGCGTTCTCCTTTCGCCGGCTGAAATCAAACATCCGATTGCGCACTGGGTTGTGATTGGAAATCTAATCAGATCCTTGAAGCCACACAAGGGGGGAGCGCAAAGGAACCCTGGGGGGGGGGGAGAGGGGGAAGGTTAAGGAAAGAGTATCCTAAAGTTGGAGGTTGAAAGGGGGGATTTATTGTGGAAAGCGACGCTCTTTCGGCTGGAAGGAGGAGGGGGAGCTCCCCCCTCCCAAAAGAAGAGAGAGGCGGCGATGGGAACCCCCGATGTAACGTGGCAGCAGCACATGGGCCGGAGAAATGATGGTGCAGCGAAGCAGAGGCGACCCGGAGTGCTTCGCCTGAGCAGAGCCGGATCTTAGCACGAGGCAAATCGCTTTGAAACGGGAAGAAACCGCGGCCGGATTATGGAAACGGAATCCTAAAGCCAAGGGGAGGATTGAAAGGCGAGGGAATCGGGCGCTTGAATGAAAACTTTCTCGGCGGGGGAAGACTGACTTCCCTTGGCACCTGCCCTCCTGACCATCGATTGCTTCTTTCTTTCTCCTCAGCGGGGAAATCGACCTCTCCTCTCCAAGAAGTTGATCCGCGCCAGGACTTTGGAAGGCAGTCTCGTCCTTCTTTTTCAGTGGAAGGAGGGTCGGGTGAGAGAAGGCGAAGGGGGAGAGAGGCGAAGTGCCGCGGAAATTGGGAAGGGGGATTTGTCGTGGAGTCGAGTGGAGCCCCTCTGGACTGAACTAGATGGGAAATCGCAGATGGATATTGCACCTCCTGGCATTTTTTCCTCCGGTCAAATTGGATTTGTCCCTGAAATGATGTAGTTTGGCCCTCCGCGCTCTTTTCCGTTTTTCCCCCCTCCTTCGGTTTCCCCCCTTTTTTCTTCCCTTCCTCCCTCCCCTGTCCCTAGCTTTACGCCTCCCTCCTCCTTCCTTTGGGATTTCGTGCTGGATATTTTTTTCTCCTCCTTCTTCGGGGCGATTTTCGACCACCGTAAGTGCCATTTTCGCTTGACTTCTTTCCTGGCGTCTGGTGACATCCAACGCAGGCGGCGGGAAGGCGCGCGGTTCTTTGATGTATTCCTTATTTGTTGGGAATTTGTGCGTGTGGGCCCTTCCACACAGCCCTCTATCCCAGAATATCAAGGCAGAACATCCCACAATATCTGCTTTGAACTGGGTTATATGGCTGTGTGGATTCAGGGCCCTTCCACACAGCTCTTTTCCCAAAAATATCAAGGCAGAACATCCCACAGTATCTGTTTTGAACTGAGTTATATGGCTGTGTGGGTCAAGGCCCTTCCACACAGCCTTCTATCCCAGAATATCAAGGCAGAACATCCCACAGTATCTCCTTTGAACCGGGTTATATGTCTTTGTGGACTCAGGGCCCTTACACACAGCCCTCTATCCCCAAATATCAAGGCAGAACATCCCACAGTATCGCCTTTGAACCGGGTTATATGGCTGTGTGGACTCAGGGACCTTCCACACAGCCCTCTAACCCAGAATATCAAGGCAGAACACCCCACAATATCTGCTTTGAACTGAGGACCCTTCCACACAGCCCTATATTTCAGAATACCGAGGCAGAAAAACCCACATTATCTTTAGTGTGAATTCAGATAACCCAGTTCAAAGCAGATATTCTAATGTTTTTGCCTTGATATTCTAGGATATAGATCTGTGTGGAAGGGCCCCAAGTTATCTGAGTCCACTGCCATATGTTCCAGTTCAAAGCAGAAAATGTGGGATTTTATTCAGCTGTCTGGAAGGGACCTGAGTCCACACTATCATATATCCCACTTCAAAGCAGAACATGTGGGATTTTATTCAGCTGTGTGGAGGGAGCTTGTGTTGGAGGGGAGAGGTGCCACTCGATCCTAGCCTAGGCGAGATCAGAGGACTGGGCCTTTGAAGCTGGGGGCGGGGTGGGGGAGGGCAGGAGCGTTGCCTCCAACATTGCAGGTAGCTTATCCTTGGGCTATCCAGCCTGTCTTCCCGATTGTTCTGTAGCAGCCAAAGACTCTGCCTTGGAGGAAACCCCTGCAGTGTGTGTGAGAGATGGTGTGCTGCTTGCTTTAGATACCTGGCCTGAGGAGTTTGGTGCTCATAGTACAGTCTACATGTGTGTGCCTGGGAATTTGGGGGGGGGGGGCAAGAGAAGGATTAATAGTTAATAATCATAGACCCCTTCCACGTAGCTGAAAAAACCCACATTTCCTGCTTTGAACTGGAATATATGGCAGTGTGGACTCAGATAACCCACTTCAAAGTAGATATTGTGGGATTTTCTGCTTTGATATTCTGAGATATAGGGCTGTATGGAAGGGCCCTCAGATAACCCAGGGACATATAACCCATAATATCATGGCAGAAAATCTCACAATATCTGTATTGAAGTGGGTTATCTCAGTCCACACTGCCATATATTCCAGTTCAAAGCAGAAAACATGGGATCTTATTCAGCTGTATGGAAAGGGCCTCAGATAATGTGGGATTTTTCACACTCAGATAATGTGGGATTTTCTGCTTTGATATTCTGGGATATAGGGCTGTGTGGAAGGGCCCACAGATTCCATCTAAATATCATCCTCTAAACATACTTGCCAGGACTAGGTGTTAGATTAATGTAGGCATTGACGTGAAGTCCTGTCTTTGATGGTTGGTACCTTTAGTGTCTCATGGCTAGAAAAGGCATTGGATGAGAATATCTCTCCTAGCAGGTCAGAGAAGGGATGAGATGAGGCTGCTGCCCCACAATTTACAAGCTGCCCCAAGGCGTACAACAACCCCTGGCACCATTCCTTTTGCTGGGGCTTGACAGGTAAATCCCTCGCCAGCTCCCTAAGGGCATGTCATCTTTGACAGCAGTTATGAGAAAGAGATAAACTGCATCCATCAGCAGCAGTGTTGCTAACTCATGGTGGTGGTCATGCTGTTAGTTCAACTCTTAATGGTTTGTAACTCATCTAGCTCGATGTCACAAAGCATCATGCTCAGAAGACCCTTTGAATTCAGTAGTTCCCAGCTGCCAAGGATTAGGGCTGATTATATGTAATAATAATAATAATAATAATAATAATAATAAACCATTGGGTTGCTGTGAGTTTTCCAGGCTGTATGGCCATGTTCCAGAAGCATTCTCTTCTGATGTTTCACCCACATCTATGGCAAGCATCATCAGAGTTTGTGAGGTCTGTTGGAAACTAGGAAAATGGGGTTTATATATCTGAGGAATGTCCAGTGTGGGAGAAAGAACTCTTCTCTGTTTGAGGCAAGTGTGAATTCTGCAATTGAACACCTTGATTAGCATTGAATAGCCTTGAAGCTTCAAGGCTTGGCTGCTTCATGCCTGGGGGAATCCTTTGTTGGGAGGTGATTAACTGCCCCCGATTGTTTTTTGTCTGATTCTGGCCATGAAAGCCTTCGACAACACAATACACCATTGTGTTCAAAGGACTTGATTCCAAATATGTATGTCCAGGACTGCATATTTAGTATATGCCAATGCAAGAAGAAAGGCCCTGAAGTGTGGCCATTTCACAGAAAAGAGGTGATTCAGAAAGGCTTACATGCTAAGTTGGACACCCAGGAGGTTGATGGTTAGATACTGTGCCCACTTCACTACCTTGGCTTTCTCTTTCAAAAGAATAAGATCTCATCTCAGTAGTGAAGGAGGGTGTAGCTCTTCAAAATGGAACAAGATAAATTAGATGGATAGAGGATCATGGAAGTAATGTATGGCTTGGGGTGATTTCTTCTGTGATACTTTCTCCCCCCCCCCCCAATTAATTGCGGCTTCCTGATAAACATACTTCCCTTTTCACATGAACATTCTTGTGACATAAAAACCTAAATTTGCAAACTTAGCAAATCAGGAAGACATTAAACAACTATAACAACACATTTGGTAAAAGGGGAGCTTGCAAATTAGTGGGGGCCCATCCACACAGCCATATAACCCAGAATGTCAAGGTAGAAATCCTACAATATCTGCTTTGAACTGGGTTATTTGAGTCCACACTGCCATATATTCAAGTGCAAAGCAGAGAATGTGAGATTTTATTCAGCTGTGTGGAAGGGGCCAGGCATGTAGTAATCATTGTAACTGTTTTGGAGGGTGGACCATTTCATTGAGTTTGCTTCCTTTTTTATCCTATGGAGAACTGATTCTAAGTTGTTTGTTTGCATAAATAAACATCTGGTAGCATAAATATTTTCAAGATACATTTCAGTGTTCCAGCTATGGAGAAGGGTTGCTAGTGCATTTGCTCCTTTTAAAAAGGCATCTCATTGCTTTGGGTGAAGGGTCATGCCCCTTAAGCATTAATTATGTGAAAAGCGGTCGATCTTTGACCTAACGTCCAAAGGTTTCTGTGGGACTCAGTGTACTCATACACAAAAAGCCTGATTCTGCCATGTTTTCAACAGATGTCCAATAAAAATACTACTTATACTTATAATAATTCTTTAGGTTAGATCAGTGCAAGAAATCAGCATTCTTATTAGTCTCAGATTTTTTTTTTCATGTTGGAACATCTACTGACTAACAGTTTTATCAAGCTGTGAAGCAAGTCCTCCACTGCCTCCCCTGTATTTGTGCCAAATGGGCCCCTGCATATTTGTATCACAAATCTCTGCCCTGCTGTGAACTTCTTGTGCATCAGCACGAATAGTGGAATAGAGATGGAGCTGGTGCAAAATCGGTGTGTATGCATGTATAATGATTTATCACAGGATGAGTGTGTTGTGATCCCATAAATCCGAGATCATTAAGGAAAACCATCCTGATATTTGAGAGGAATGTATTGCTATTACCATTCCATTCTGTTCCAGGGATGCTGAAGTGATACTTAAGCACTCAAATGCCACCAGTGGAGTGTATGTGTTGTGGCAAGCTAGGGATTCAAAAAGAATAAAGCTCAGTGCTGTGTAGAGTTATGGTGGTGGATGTGTACTTTCAGAGGTGTTAAATCCAGTTAGTGTATTAGCTAAAACCATGTGGACTAGGCAGGAATGCAACACTCTGTCTTGTAATGGGAGGACTTTGGCTTCCAAGTCTGTATAGCAACACTACCTAAAATATTCTAAGGAACCTTTGCCCCTCTTTTTTATTTTGTATGAGCAACACTAGTTCCATAAACACTTGGGAGGAAATTTTATCTGGATGACTTTGTTTTCTATTGCTTGTATCAGAATATAAGTGTAACATTCATCAACATCTGATTATTAGCCAATATGCCTTCCTACTTTTTTCCCCAGCAGAAAAGGGTAAGCTATTCTGTAATTACAACAAGCAGCTAAGAAAAGTGACAGCCTGCAGCATGTAAATAGAGAACAATTTTGTGTATAAAAATGCACAAGTTGCCAATGAAAAGGAGCAAGCATTGCCTCTAAAAATTGTTTATCATTTTTTTCTTGAGAGGATAAAAAAGTATTTAATCTAAAAATGGAAATGATACTTAGCAGTCTGATAATCAGTGAGGGAAAACATGCCTCAAATGTAATAATTTCATATTTGTACAGACTGCATGAACTTCCTTTTAGGGAGAAGTTCAGCTTTTTCTTGGTTCTGTTTCAAAAGCCAGTGAAAGTACAAGTGTTAGAACATTTACATAGTTGTTTGGTGTATATGCATTTTCAATCAAGAGCATTTTAATGTGTTTTATATAAGCATGTAGTACAGCAACATTTCTAAAGGTCCTTGCCAGCTTTGTAGCGGGGGGGGGGGGGGATTTTTTTTTTTAGCAAATCATGAAGAGTATTCATAACACAAAATAATTTAAATAGTATGGTTCATTCTATATTTTATATAGACTTAATTAAATCAATTTAATTTTTGCTTCTCATAGACTTAGCATGGGGATTTGGTTAACCAATTAAAATTCATGAGTAAACCAGCTTTTTCTTTAACCCCCCACCCCGCTACAGCCCTGGTTCCTGCTTTGATGCTTAAGATTAATGGAAGCAATTGCACACATTAATGAAATC